AAATAGAGAAAATTTCAATATTAAAGTTAAATGCAATAAATACATTTCTCAATTTCTAATAATTTCCTTTGTTTCGTCACAAATTCCTCTCGCGCAACGAGCATCGAAAGAGAAAATTATATATGTTACCGCTAAAGCTCGGAAACTCGTTAATGTGTACATTACCTAGCTAATCTGCAGATTAACAAGGTGATCCGTTAAAGTTGCGAAAATTGTTCCATTTCTCAAATTACCTAGATAATGTGCAGAGTATCTTGGTAATCCACACATTACCTACTCGGCACTCCGTAAAGTGAAAATAAGATCTTTGCAACAAATAAATGTACCACAAATACTGTAGGTGTGCTTGTCACAAAAAAGAATTGCTATGTAATTCAAAGTGTCACCAATCTTTAGACTATACTAATAAATAAGCACAATTGGTTAATGTTACCTATGGTGACTAAAATGGCGGCTCGTCTCTGATTCCAGCAAACAGAAGAAAGAAAACAGTGGGAACGCACATTCTAACCTAACCTAACCTATTCTAATAATTTGGTTGGTAATAATTATGGTAATTTATTAAAATAGGTTAGGTTAGGTTAGAATATGCGTCCCCACTGTTTCCTTTCTTCGGTTTGCTGAAATCGGAGACGAGCCGCCATTTTAGTCACCAAAGGTAACATTAACGCACAATTTTATCATGCGATCGCCGGAAAAAGTATGATAACTTTCTTATTTTTCGTCTCTGATCAAAAAGTAGGGTATCGTTGTACTCATCTCGGTCTCCTCAGTTCAGATATATACTCAAAGTTCCGAAATTCCACAGGTGGTAATCTATATAATTCCCCATTTTCCTAATTGTAATAATATTTTAAACCGTTTGATTTTTTTGTATTACAGTTTTTACTCGATTGATGATTGATTCTATTAACTAATTTGTTGATTGTATTAACTTGATTTTTTAGATATCGAATATTAAATAAACGACATTATTAATAAAATTGAAGACAAAACTGTCGAAAAAGGATCACCATTTATTTTTTGTGTTCCAAGACTAACACATTCTCGGAGACTGACCTTTCTTTGTAGGCTGCTTGTCGCCGGAAAATTACAAAGAGTCCTTTTAAAAAACACGAAACACATCCAATTAAAATTACAAAAATTTCTGAAAAAGCAACTGGTGACATATAGTTGTCCTGCTTACATCCATCTATACCTTCTTTTGGGGGTTTTGGCTGCTTTTTTTTTTCAGTTTTTTAAAACGACTCTAATTTTCCGGCGACAAGCAGCCTACAAAGAAAGGTCAGTCTCCGAGAATGTGTTAGTCTTGGAACACAAAAAATAAATGGTGATCCTTTTTGGACAGTTTCGTCTTCAATTTTATTAAAAATATTTTTCCATCGGACGAACATTTACAGGATAAACAACATTATGTTAATTTAGGCGTACAGAAACCGATCTTTGTACAGCGTGCAGCGTACAGAATAAGATCTTTGCAGTTCCAGCAAAGATCTTATTTTCACTTTACCGAGTGCCTAGTAGGTAATGTGCAGATTACCTAGATAATTTGAGAAATGGAACAATTTTCGCGACTTTAACGGATCACCCTAGTTAATCTGCAGATTAGCTAGGTAATGTGCACATTAACGGCTTTCGAGCTTTAGCGGTAACATATATATTCTGAAGAAATAAGTAAATTATATACTGTAATTGTAAATCACTATAAGCAAACCTATTAAAGTTTACTTATAACTTAATTTTACTTAAAAACAGTAATTAATAATTGGTTTTAAGGTAATGTACAATACGTGCATATACTGTGATTAAATATCAGAAAATCCTATTCTTTGTAGTCCACCAGTGGTCGAGTGGATAAAACCACCAAACACTAGTAGTTGGTCGTGGATTCGCGCCCCGCTAACTCGCTGGTCACGTGGAGTTTTATTCACGTTAATAACGCCTAAATAGGGGCCATCTTCGCATAAAAGTGAAGCTGGCCCCTATTTCGCATAAATTTTCTAAGATGATCCGGAAGACTACCTCATAGCCGAAATAGCAGCGTATCAACCTACCGCGACCCGGACTGCGGGTGAGGATTGTTCGAACAGAAGTTCCTGACGCGTGCGTATGTCATTTTGCAATGCGAACAATAATGTGCAGTGTATGCCGGTTCTAAATCAGTTACAGATAGCAACTAGGGAGACTCGGGTGGGAGTAACGTAAGTAACCTACAAGACTTACTCTATTGGATATTGGAGACGTGTACTACGAATGCGAATCCTACAAGCAAGGGGGAAAAAAAGGTTGCGCAATTAATAGTTCACCCGGACGGAGAGTCGATTCACTGACTGTCCGGATAGTCAGTGAATCCCCGTGCTCATTTCAATCGGTCCGAATCGTAGGTGCGACGAGAATATGACTTGAAATGGTTCAAATTTTTACAAGATATTACTACTATTTATTGTGAAATTTTGCCGCCCCCACTACGCTACGCCACTGACAATCGTTGTACATTATGGGGAAAGAAGGGGGTCGAGACATTGTCTACGTGGACTTTTTTCAGTGGTATACGAATTTGTTTTTATAAGTCCACCGACTACACTGGAATTAACTCTCAGTCAGGAAAGATTTGCTATTAGTCGCGTACTAACTACAAATAATTACCAAAAACTGCAGTAACTAGTGGCGTATCTTTCCCGGCGAAAAATATTCATGTTTAAGATACACAAAGACACATTACCTCAAAGTTATAATTGCGGCCCCATCTGTTACGAGACGTTATTAGAAACAACTTTTTTATTACTATATTAATTATTATAACAAGACTGGACAAGCCCATCTGACAGCACGCTCCGCAAAAGCCAATCGAATTTATTATAAAATTTATTTTAATACAATATACTAACCGAGTAGTTTTTACTGTAGCTTAGTGTCCGTAAACGCTGTAACGCCTCGTCGATACAACTCTTAAGCCTAATGTCGGAAATTTCTTGCCGATCGAGTTTCGGCTTAATTTATAAGCCTAATTTTTACGTTTGAATTGAATGGATGGAACCGAACGTAACGCAAATCTGACATAAGCACTTCTCCACTACCGTGAATCGTGCTAAAAAGGCTAAAGCAGGGGTCGCCAAAGTGGTCGATATGGACCCCCAGGGGTCGATGCAACATCATTAGCGGGTCACAACCTTTCTTTTTTTTTTTGCTTAGACAGAGACCACACCCACAACGTTTTTTTTTTTCGCTGATACATATATACTTGTAATAAAACTTTACGGTGGGGGTCAATGTGAGGCTTTGGAAAGTGATTGGGGGTCGACGGTTAAAAAAGTTTGGCGACCCCTGGATTAAAGGCTTAATTTTCAGATAGAGATGTGTTTTTTTTATTGTAAATGCCGATAACTAGTAAAATTTTCATTAGATCCTCCCCCACTCCAGATACGACACACGGTTCCCTATCTCCCACACCCTCGAGTTCAATGCTCCAAATTTTAACAGCATCAATGCCCTTTAGGTACAAGTTACTCTGACAAATTTCGGTTTTTAATCTTTATCCACCGTAAGACATTAAACGAAATATGCGCCAACACACGTGTACCTCGAAGTACCAGACACCACTGTATGTATACAGTGATGCCTCCTACTTCGAATTTAATTCGTTTCGGGAGTCATTTCGAACTCAGAATCAAATTCTTCGAATTTATTTATTTTTTTTTGTATTTGGAACGATAAATAAGAGAATAATATTCTCTTATTTATCGTTCCAAATACAAATAACGATAAATAAGAGAATAATATTCTCTTATTTATCGTTTATGTACTCGGGAAAACTGTTTGTTGCGGGAACCAATCGGGTCCCACAAACTATTGTAGGTTGCGCGTAATTTAACGGGAAGGGCTTGGCCAAAAGTAACCTATATTCGTTGTACACAACGGAGGGAGGGAGCGGACCAAAAATTGTACACGTAATTAATGGACGGTCTCTTTCCTTCTATAAAAAGATAATAAATATACTGTAAATATACTATAAATATACTTCTATAATAAGATAATAAATATATTCTAAATATTTATCTTTAAGCAATCTAAGAAAAATATTGGATAAGAATGCGCTAATAATCAGCGCAGCAAAAAAGAAGAATCAGCGTGAGGTGGAAAGACCTACTTGAGACGAAAGAGATGGAAGGGGACAAGTGGGAGTACGCACGGATCGCAATAATACAATTTGTAAACGAGTTTAGAAACACCTATTTTGTTGCAAACGTGATCATAATCATAAAGAATAACGATGACGTCATTCTCATTCAACTCGTTGGACTTTACGAACGTGCCCACGGTCTCTAAAATGAGAACATTTCCCTATTTTGATTAAAAATATCCTTTCATTCAAACACACTCGCTCTCGCTACGTTCTTCCTTTCAAAACAACCTGTTCTTTATTCGTAATTTCTTTTTTCCATTTTGTAATCCTATCTTCATAATGTTCGTCGTTAGTCTGCCGACGAACAGGCTACTCGTGTGCGGCGGCGTCCACAAACTTTACAAAAGATTCTTTTATAGTCCGCGAGTGCCAAGCCGTGAAAAAGGGCATTGTACCGTACATTACGCAAGAAGCTTCGAACTACGATTCAATGTCGGATCAGCGTTCCCACAAGGTAGCGCCGGTTGAACTCGGGGCTGGAGAACAAGGGACGTGATTACCGTCAACAAACGACCAAATCGCGTGGGACAATGGACAAATATCGTTCATTAGTTTCTTTTACATTTGCAGAACAAGACGAGCGAAAGATTTGAACAGTCTGACAACGCGTACCACGAAACCATATTTGGTAAATCAACCCGAAGGGTCGTACTATCGGGTTGTTCCTATTTCGAAGATAACTACCGCTAATAGATAAACGATCCGTAGATAACACAACTTTCCTTTGGAAAATAAAATTTTTATCTTTATAAAGCTGATGTCTAGACAATTAAAGAGATACCAAGATTTAGTTTAAATTAAAAAAAAAATCATTTACCTAAATAGGAAAATGAGGATTTGTTTCTACATAACTGGAGAGTATCGACGTTCCAAATTTGATAAACAGTTCTAGTTTAAGGCTAACCGTAAGCGTACTTTTTGCTTCGGCGATAACGCGAGATAATGATTATCTTCGGGAGAAAGTATTGTGCACCGCGTATGCCCGCCGCTAAGAACTAAACCGTGACCATTTTTTTCCCCCGTCAAAATCCTAAATATATTTTGTGCGTGCGCATTACCCGGTAAAGCGGCTTTAACACAACCGGACGAGCGAGCCAATAACATAGTCCGTTTCATTCGAAATGGGTAATCCATCCATTGGTTTGCTTATACGGGTCCTTACCGGGCAACGTGCTCGTTGCATAATATTTACTAGAAATTGCATAATGGAAGCGTAACGCGTATTGCCGTCAAATGTAGTTGTTTAAAAATAATTATTTTCGTATACAGCCACACTTTCGAACACGAGGTTAACACGTGGTAACTGGATATTTTATGTTAACTTAGGGGAATAATTATAATTAAATTGCGATGGTGCAACGTCCTTCGTATCTATATGTGACATATAACGATTGCGTAAGTATCGGTCTCCCCACTGTTGGTTACATCAGGCAACCTTGGCAGTTTTGCAAGAGTTTTAAACTTGTTTGTATCGAATATGACGCACGGTCGATAAGAAATTATGTCTGATAATGACGATTAACTCGGTCTCGATTGCGTAATAAACACGGGGAAACCACAGGAGGAAAGGTAAAGGGTTTTTCTTCAACGAAATGGATTAAGAAAGGCGAAGAAGGGATTCCAACTTACATTCATTGTTACTCGTTAAGAGTTGCAGTTTTCAAAGTTAATTGTTGTAATTGATGAATTTTTTAAATACTTATCTGTTATAACAATTATGAAATGGAACAAAATAAGCGTGTTTTAGTGTCGGTGAGTGGTGCATGCTTCAAATTTTAAAGCAAAATAACTGCTGATATGGAGTAAAATTCCAATCATTTTTTGTAATTCTATAATAAACATTACACATAATTTATAAATACATATAAAAGCAATATTGTCAAAAAAATTATAATAATGTACTTAAAGTTACGTAAAATATCTAACTAATGCGTGCCGGCGAGTTACGAGAAGTACGTACGACGTAGTAATTGTACGGTTTTAATACGAACCGTTTAATTAACCGACTGTACGTTTAGGTTAATGGACGGGTTTCGAGCTTAGGAAATGAACTTGTTTTGTTCGATATTTTATATAGGAGACGATGAGTAAATACTTTTGAATGAAATAATAACTGATATGCTGAAACGAGGGAGACAAATAAATTCGTCTGGAGAGTGACTTTACGCTAATGTGTACTTATAATGTCCAGGTAAGTAGCGTTTTAAAAGTAAGCCAAAAATACAAGTCTGTTTATTAAATCGTTTGTTTTACGCTATAAGTTATAAAATGCTAAATTGTTATAAATATGTGGATGCGAGCGAATGAATTTTACGCACCGGACGGTTAATGTCGAGCACAAAAACGAGAAATGATTGGTAATAACAGAAATTTTAATTCTGCCAAAGATAAATCCGTGCGATGACCGACGAGCTTTGCTTTTCGACTACAAAATGGCAAAAAATTTGTTGTTTTCTACTTTATTTCTCGCTCGCTTACCGACTCTCTCGTCCGAATAGCCTTAGTCTAATACATTGTCATAGAAAATAAAAGCAGATCAAAGAAAATTCTATTGTATAATTTGATTAGTTTTATTATAAATAAAAGTGAAATTCAAATGCTTAATTAATATTTATCAAGATCTCTCTATTTATATAATTTGAAAAAAAATCTGATTTGTTTTTCATACAAAATTTCATTGAATCTAACACATTTTTAAGATTCGAGAATACAAATTCTGCTCTCGTCTCGAAAACTTTATTTTACGTTCTCGGCAGTACTATAAACAAAGTATATAACGACATTAAAGCATTTATATCTACGTTTTTAGATTAAATTTATTTTACGATAAGATTTATAGCAATTTGAAAAATCGGTTCTCTCAAAACGCGAACGAATGCTCGTAAAATATCCAAAAATAAAAAAAAGATGATTGTTAACATAGAGACAAGCCTTTAAATACTATTATTTATATGATAAGATAAATATAAAGGACGCTTGATAATCGTTTACAGGATTGGCTGGATACATAACAGTCTAGAAGACGATTACACTTCCTCTTCAAATTCTGTCATGGATTTAGTGCACGGCGTAAGAATTTTTTCATGTTCTAAAATATATGTAGAGCACTAAAATAACTTTTATTTTAATATTAATTATATGTATATAGTTAACATTATCCTTTTTATAATTTAACTTGTAAAAATTTAAAAAAAATTAATTTTTCTAAAAGCTAATAATTTATATACTATTTTTAAGAATTTCTTATATCTAATTTTTAAATAATGATGATTTAAAATTTATCATTTGGATTTTTAGTTTAATGTATTTGATTATAAATTATTCCAAGATTATTTGTTTTTATATATTTCACAGAATGTGTTAAACTGCATAAAGATTGTTATTAACTGAAAAAGCTAAGAATATAATAGAGTTATTTTAAAGAATTTAAAATTTATATCCATATTTTATTAAAAATCTGATGGATATCAGATCTGATTTTTTTTGCTTACGTCTTTATTCATATATTTGTTTATATATTGGCTACTTTATTAAGCATGGAGTGCTACAAATATTTATTTTATTCAATTTATTAAATAAATATTGAATTTCTGAAAGATAAACTTTAGAATTTTTTGAATAACAACTTTAAACTTGCGCAGCAACTGTAAAGCTGCATAAATTTGAGTATGTTGTTTAAAACATAAGGATAAATCTTATTATTATGTGCCAGTACATTGATGAGCAGTTTATTAATGTATTAAATAATATATCAGTTTAATTAAACATATAAAGAGAATTATATAGGTTTTAAGTAAAGTGCATACAATTATGGATAATTATTTAAGAGAAATATTGTTGTTAACACTTGATACTTGAATCATTAATATTATAATTTGTGAATAAAAATGATACAAAAATTTGTACAAAAACTGATTTTTTACTTTTTAAAATTCTGCAAGATCATTTATTTTTCTTATAAAATATACAGTTAGCCTATATAAATTATTTTAATGAATATTTTTATTCTTCTGAAGCAAGAGTTCTCGATCTAGTCACTAGTGATCCCAAAGAGGTCATTTGATTTATCTGGGGGTCAATATTGCGAGAGGTCATAGTCAGTGAATAAATTTATCTAACAATAATTGATATGGCCTTAAATTTTTGAAAAATAAATGACATAACTCTGAATTTTGTTTTATCTTTAACAGTAAAAATTGTTATTAATTCTTTTTTGATTTTTTTTATTTAATTCTAATTGTAATGTATTCTTACTTTGTATCAGTGTAGAAAGGGAATTTAACAAATTCAGTGTAATTTTGGAAAGGAATCAACAAACAAAACACAAACTTGGGAATCCTTATTTTAAAGTATTTCAAAATGTCTAACAGAAATCAAAATTAAAGACGAAATTATTATTGAAGTTTATCGATAATTATTTTAAAGATTGAAATTTGAATGTTTATCTACTTTATTATCGAGAATATTTATTTAATTAATCAAAAACATTGAATTTTATGTTAAAATTTATCAACTTACTTGATTTATGGATTAAATTTGTATTTTTCTGAGATAACTATGATGATGATTTTAGTTTTTAAAATTAGAAAATACTTAGTTTCTNAGAATAATAATAGTAAATGTAAACAAACAAGAATTTGGTGAACGAAGTTTGTAGTTGTTGATTAGTATAATACTTCATTTAATGCCAAGTCGATTTGCATATGTCTTGAAAAGAAAAGTGAACGTCATTGAGAATTGACGTCATTCGTCGGTAGCAATGTTAGTAGTGACATCTGTCCTCAAAGTATCTAGTGTAAGTTTATAAAATAATAATTACAACTTCATAAAGTTGTAATTATTATTTTATCAATATATTTTTATAAACCTTTTTTTTGTATTTTTGATTATTGATGAAAAGAAGATCTGTTTTTTGCAAATTATTTAAAATTAATGAAATTTTATTGTACTATACAAAATATTAGATTATGTTAATGTTAGTTGCATTATATATAAATTGTATCTTTTTCTTCCAAACATTTTTTGTTTGGAAGAGAAAGATACAATTATGTATAATACAATTCATACAGAATAATGTTTCCAATTAGTGAATAACTATTGACTTTAAATATTGGTATTTAAATACTGTTTCCACATGCAAATAACTAATGTGTAATATTTGGAAACAAAATATTGTTCCTAATTAGTGAGTAAAGATTGTATTTTTAATCATTTAGTCTTCCAGTTTTCAAATTAAGCGGTTTGCTTAATTTACAGTTTTGGCAAACTTGTAATTAAGAAAAGTTGGAAAAAATTATAGTTTACTGTAATTTTTTCCAACTTTTATGGATATTATTATATAGAACAATTAATATACGGATAGTTTTCTGTTAATGTGCTTTAAGTTAAGTTTTAACATAAGTCATTAATTATGGATAATTTTCATACTGTATGCTACTTATATTGCCTGAAAGAAGTCAATCCTAGATGGTGGATGTATGGAGAATTTACATAACACATTACTTTCAAGGGACATATAATTGCTTGAAAGTAGTATGTTAAATGATTTTGTACATGGTATGTATCCTGTTAGCCAAAGATTGTCTCTATTTTGTTTTGTTACATAACTAGTTTGATGTTTTTTGAAAAAATAGTTTATTGAATTGTCAAAAATATTAATTTATAAATGTTGATTAAATTTTTAACATATTTATAATATATAAAAATGCTTTAGTATCCTCTCCTGAAGTCGTTTCTTGCGGGAGCATTGAGTGGAACTTGCTCAACTCTTCTCTTTCAACCTCTTGATTTAGTTAAAACTAGGATACAAAATGCCTCTTCAAGAGGGTAAGATAACATTAAAATTTTAATAATAACTGTAAATATTTAAAAAAAAAATTAACAATAATGTTACAGATCACATAAAGGAATGATGAGCCTCATGATACAAGTTGCCAAAGATGAAAGACTTCTTGGTTTATGGAGAGGAACAGTTCCTGTAAGAATTTAGTCTGTGTTTATTATTTTCCAATTTTTCTTTTATTAACATTTTTTACTATTTTAATATTTAAGAACTGTATTTTTGTGCATATTATCTGTGGGTTATGTTTGAAAGGGGTGAGGGTTATAAAACAGAAAAGTTACATGCCAATTTTAAATTGCAGTTATGTACATGTGCTTATGGAGCAATGGCTGATCCCATAGGTGTGAGGTATATTGTAAATGAGTTATGCAAAGGTTTTATTTTTGTTCTAGCAATTTTTTGCAGATTATATGCATGAAAATATGGCAATATATAAAGTACTCTATTAATTGAAAAGAGGAGATTATTTAATTGAAAAAGTTAACTGACTATATATTATTATTACACAGTCCATATCGAGGTGCATTCCTGGTATTGGGATGTATTTTTGTTCATTACATTGGATCCAAACTTCTTTTAAGTAAGAGATATTATTATTATTATTAAAATTTAATATTGAATTAATGCTTGCTTCATTTTAATTTCAATAAAACCTTTTGTTTATATTTTCCTAGGGATCAGTCAAAATTTTATACGACTACAATTATCTGTAATTATATTTATATTACTTTAAACATTCAAAGTTGTATTTTATCTAAAGAATTTTGTTTAAATTGCAGATCCAAAAAAGAGTAATGTGAATAATATGGTAATTTAATTTTCATTAATCACAGATTGTTTTTTCAGTCATGGCAAATGATAGCACAAACAGCTTTTCTGTAGTTAATTTAATTTACCATTTTATTTTTTAACTATCATTAGTATTAGCTAGTAAAAATATACATTTATTTTAGATTTAGAAATTGGTTAAATAAAAAATGAATAAATTTTGAGCAAAGTAAACATAAGGTTTTACTGTAATTGTAATGTTTAAATTATGATGATATATGTATAAATCATAGTTATAAAATGTATCAATCAGTTAAATTTGGGATCATATCAATATTTGAAATGTAGATATGCAGCTTTATTTTCAGTGAGTAGCAACAGCTAGTTGTTAGATAAAGGTTATATCATATACAGAATGATATAATTAACTTAATAAAGAATTTGATTAATAAAAACAGAAATTTGAGTTTAAATCTTTGATAATTTTTGTATTAAATAATCTAAATTGACTTAAAATTATTTTTATAATAATAAATAAAAGAGGTTGATTTAAAATTTAGGCCATAGCCTAAATTTTAAATTATTGATGGTGTACATTTTTATCATTAATTTTGATAGGACTTTGCTGACTTGTTTATTTAATGATAGAAAACATTTTTTTCTAAGATTAATTAATCAATGTTGATTATGTTAATAAATTCTTGAATAATTTTAGATTAGTGAAATCTGTCTTCAATTCTTGCTGGGGTCAAATATTGGGTTGCTGCCACAAAAAGTATTTTATAAAATAATTTATCATTTTGTTTCTGATTTGATTTTATTAAAATTAGATGTTTTTCCTTTATCTGTGTAATTATAACGTATTTAAGAAGTTTAAGATTTAGTTTTAATATTATCAAAATTTTGTATTTACGTTAAGATTTTGAATAAAGAAGGTATGAATTATCTGTTTATATCTAAAGATACTCTAGAACCTAGTAAAGGTATTGTTTCATCATTTTTAAAGTCATTTCTAGCAATATTGTATCAGAAGTGATTTCCAATGACCAAATGACAAAGCCATAATATCATTTCTGTAATGGTTTCTGATTGATTTTGAATGATATCAAGTATTAATACATCATTAAATTATTTTATACATGTCATAAATGGGGATATCTGTTAATTAAGTCTGCAGTTTCAGGAAGCGATGGATGTCATGAAAGGGACAGAGGGCAAATGTTGTGGCATTGTCTACATGGACTTTTTAGTGGTATTAGTGGTGTACAAATTTGTTTTTATTAGCTAATTTTAGTAATCATGCAAACAGAAAATATTTACAGAACTTATTTGACATTTCTTCAATGTCAGGGATGTTTATGAACTATAGTACAGGTAATTGAAGGGGAAAAGGTTTTGCAAAAGTACATCACAACAGGGAGGGAGGTGATCAAAGGTGGCTCAAAAATGTACACATAATTAATGGGTGGCTCCAATCTTTAGTTAACAATAAAATATTTTCAAAGTATTTTCAAAATCATCCAAACATGTCAAGTCACATTGAATGATATCAAATGATGTCAGTCACAGCACGATATCACTTGACATTAGTTGATGTTAAAATGTTAAAAACATACGAAACATTTTAACAAATGAGAACAAATGATCTCAACTTGATGTCAAGTATTGTTATGTCATATTATTTTCTGATAATTGACATCAAGTCGTATAATGTTCCTGACAACTGAAATCAAGTCATCATTTGCCAAATACAACATGATGTCAAGTTTTGTTATGTCATGTCATATTATTTAAGATAATGCACTATTAACACACAATTTCAAATGATATTTTTACTTGTTAGAAAATAGAAATCTCTGTGGTTCTTATTTTGCCAAATTTTAAATTTTTTTTTACATATCTGATCTATTTGGTTAAATTGCATATGCTCTGTTTAGTTAACTATAAAATCACATTTTACCAAATTTATTAAATTTATATATTATTATAATGAAAACTTCTGGTAATGAGAATAATTTTTATCACCTTCAGAAAAAAAAACTGAGCTTAATTTTAGAACAGGTCACATTATAAATTGTATATCATTCTAAAAGTTATCAATTGTAAACTATGAATATTATATCAATTACAAAATCATATGTATTGCTTAAAAACACTAAAATTAAAATCATAATTTTTTGATAACTATTATAATCTCTCTTAACTTTTACATGGTTTGATTTTATAGTTAGTAACTGAATTTGCTTATCAGTAAAAATGAATGAAAGATTTATAATTATCCTTTTGTGGAAAGTTATGTATACAGACAAGATTGTTAATATATAAAGAAGCCATGCACTTTTATTAGCATTATTAAATATATTATATATATTCAGTTAGAAATTCACTTTTGCAAAATTTCTCATTCATTCATTATCAATCTTTAAATAAATGCTTAAAAGTTTTAAATAGACTACTGTGAAAAAATTCAAATTTTGTGTTTGAATATACAAAAATTTGTTTTTATTTGTCTTATTGATCTAAAAATATTAGACAATGACTACAATTGAGTAATTAATAAACTTTAATAAAAATAAAAATATATATTCTTTTTATTGCTTATTGACACTAAGAGTTAGCTGTATTTTTAACAAAGCAGTCGTCAACATAACAATTGTAAAAAATTACACTGCAAAGGTTTTTGAATGTTCCTGTATGATTTGTTTTTAATAGAAACTTTATACTAAGTTCTGAAGGACATACAAAAAAGCATGGCTGGCTTTTGAATGTCAAGTCTACTTTTTAAACTTTGCATTGCCAAGGTAGCAAATAAACTTGTTATTTGATCACCCAATATTATGGGACTAAAATTCTTATCTGAACCATGTATGAAAGGTTTAACTTTATCTGAATTCAGTTAGCAATGGATGAATGCTTTATTAAAATTATTAATGAACAAAAAGAGTAAATAATTTATCTGCTAAATTTTGATAATTTATTTATATGATCACTCGCCTTAAAATTATCTAATCATTAATTAATTTAACATTAAACTAAATTTACTAGTACAAAATCCAGTAAGAGTTCTGAGAATGTTTTATATGTTTAGATTAAAATGTATGTTAAAATAAAATACAGTTGAAATTCTGTATCATGAAGTCTTATAAAACAAATTTTTCTATAGAATATTGAAAATAAATTTTTTTATATTCACTATCAGTGCACTTTCCATTTAACAAATTTTCTGTATAACAATTTATCCATATTTTCCAGAGGCAATTTTTTATATAGAAGTTTGACTGTACAAGTATAATTGAATTTCTTAATGGCCTATTATAATTATAGATAAATGAATACATTAAATATTTAGATAAGATGATGATGATGATAATGTTGCAAACATAAAAGTAAATATTACTTTATTCAAATGTCTAAATTTTTCTTAATTTTTTCAATTTTATTATATTTATATATTGATGATGGGAACAAAATTGAGTAATTATAAAGTACTCTTATTTATAAAAATGTTATATGTTTTGTGCAATCAGAATTGAACAAGTTGCTTTGTTAACAAAGCCATAAATTTATCTGTCCATTAATGTGGCCATCTTCAGCTTACATATAAATTGAGTGATGTATAATAAATAATTTAAAATAAAGAGCATTAAACATAAAATCACTAATTTGTGATTAATATTCTTTGTTTTAATCATTTTGTTCTTCATTATTCAATTCATATGTAAACTGAAAAATGATCAGCATATATTTTTTGAAAGTTATTTTAAGAATGGTTAAAAGTTGTTTGGAACAACTGCATATTACTAGCCATGTTTCTTTTATTTCATTGGAAACAGTTTAATCACAAATAATAATATGCACCCGTTTCAAACCAATTCTTAACTAAGATAGATTTTAAATGATTTTTGGACAACCCTGCATGTTTTGGTTATCTTAATTAAGAAAGTACTGTGTTTTAGTTTCATTATGGTGCTATATTTTATCTACTGTATTTTGTATATTTTTTCGTATTTATAATGATGGTTAGTGCTGTTTCTTATAAAATACAGTGGGTGATTGGTTAATGAACATAATCTGTTCCAAGACTTTGTTCATTATCCGATTATCGATTTACCATAGGTTTTTATGGGAATTTGATTAATTCGTTCCAGAGACTCCAAAAAATAAAAAATATATACTTTTTTACTACATTTATTTATATGTAATAGTAAAAATACATATATATGCAGTCTTAAATTTTTATTAGTCATGTTTTTTCCATTTGTGGGGGTTAAAGAATCTCCAATGTCGATTGCTTTTCTCTTTTCTTTAGGATTTTTCAAAAGTAATTAATAATATTGTAATTGTAGAGATCCCCAACCATTAATCTTATTCCAGTTTGGATGCCACTTGGATGATCGTTGTTCTGACAACCTTCCACTTCTTCAAAAGATCTTTAGTAGCAGATGTCGACATTGGTCCTCTTTCATCTTCCTCTTTTTCAAAATAAAACACATCTTGTCGAGTTTCTTGGTATTCTTCATTTGAGAGTTCTTGAAGTTCTTCTGTCGTCAGATCAGTTTCATGTTCCATTATGAACTCTAAAATGCTCTTTATTTCTCAGATGTGATTTTATTACTCCATTAGCAGCTTGAGACTTCTCGATATATCTTTCATAGCTAAGATTGTGCCTACTGTAGACCTGTTCAAGCCATACTGCTTAGCAACATCAGACATCTTGTGCCCACTTTCTACCTTGGTTATTATCTCTTACTTGGTTTCTATGGTGAGCACAGTTCTTGACACTCCTTTTTTTAGGCTCCATAATAGTCAGTCATTATCAGTTTCTTTTTTAAATAAAAAGTTCAGAAAAGCACTTACAAAAATTCAGAGAACAGAAATCAACTAGCCTACAAAAAATTATTTAAATGCAAGGCCCAGATGAAATTTGAAATTTGATATTAAAACCGAAAGGACAGTTAAACTTTCACCTTTCGTAAATAAACCCTGATGCAAAACTTAACGAGTGCTCGTCTGACAGTCTTGCAAAGACTAAAAAATTATTTGTCAGAAAGGTAAACAAAAAGCTGGAATTACAGGGAAGAGTTTCAGAATTCAGAGGAATACTATCTGATCAGTATTGGGTTGAGTGTCAATGTTGAAATCTCCTGTGCTCCGAAAGGTTTCTAATTATTACCTGAAGACAAGGAAAAATCAATCGGTATTCGTTATTTTCCGTCGCTTCTTTTTATGTTTGTTCAGTAAAGTGTTCATTGTTTGATCATAAAAATCTTTCATGAAAGTGTTCTTTATCTGATTTGTTCGCTATCCGAACTGTTCGTTAACTGATTACCCACTGTAATAAATAATTAAAGTAAAGAATTTAGCCTGACTCCTCATTCATGCTTTCTTTTTCTTCTGGACATAGCTCTATGTTTGCTTCTGCCTCTTTCTTCCTTACAAGTTGCCAGATGCTCAATAATCCCTTAGTAAAAAGAATGTAAGAAACATTCTTAGGAAAAGAAGATAGCAGGAAGAGGAAAATTGAAAAGAACAAAGAAAGGAAGAGGCAGAAGCTATGTCAAGAAGAAGAAAAAATGTGGAATGAGGGGTCAAGCTAAATTCATTATTTTGATTATTTATTCTTTGCTTTCTTAATTTGTTAGACAATGAATTTTTATGTTAAAGTAATGAGATTTATTAATATAACAACATTTTTAGTTACGTTGATTTTGTATCTTTTTCTTTCTTTTATGTGGAAAAATATGTAGATAAATTTATTATTTATTAGCTTAATTTTTTCTGAGTTTAATCTTTCTTTCAAAATAAGTTATGTAATGGTTTTGATAAATGGACTGTTTGAAGTTGTTGATTGGATATAATTTATATCAGTTGTTTGTTGCTTTTGAATTGAGTAATATTTGATGTGATATGGTTGAGATATTTGAAAGTAAACATCCCATTTCATGTGATTTAGAAAAAAGCAAAAAATAAAAAAATAAAATATAAGAATTGGATAAGTCAAACAGGTCAAAAAAAATTAATTTTTAATGGTTGAATTTTGTTACAATGTTTGCAGTGTTGCTATGAAGAGAAGAGTTGCAGTTTTCCAATTTTGTCCCCATGTAATAACTGTATTGTTTATTGTTGATAGTGAAGAGGATTATTAGTCAACATTGCAAATTTTTACCTTTTTTTGTCAACTGGTGTTTTTAGCCTTGGAAATCCGTCTCCTATCGAAGCAGTTTGCTGTGGAGTGATGGCAAGGACCCTAGCTGGATCGACGTTGCTTCCTTTCACAGTCATTAAAACGCGATTTGAGGTATACATAAATAATTATCAATATAATTTAAATTTAAAGAATGAATAATTTATGGCATAAAAAATTAATTTATAAACTTATTTTTTGTTTTCTTATCAGCATAAACTTCATAAGCTGTTTTGATAAATAATAAAAAATGATGATGATATAATTTATCAACATATTTATAATAAACAAAGTTAAAGATAATTTCAGAGATAAAAATTAAACAAATAATTTTTTATGAGTGAAAATTCAAATATAAAACTATTAATTTTCAATTATGCATTTTTTTTTCTTTTTAGAGTGGAGTCTACCGGTACGGCAGTTTGACAGAAGCATTAAAAGTAATATATAGGACAGAAGGAACTCGAGGTTAGGAGTTTTGGGTTTTGTTAAATTACTTCATTGAATTAGAATAATAATCACAATTCACTGAAGAAATTTTTTGTTTATTTTTACATCCACAAAGATAATAGACAGGATAATAAAAGTCTATATATTTTTAATATTAATTAACATGTATAAAATAATCCATATTTTAAATTATAAAGTAGTGTAACAATATCTTTATTTGTCAATAAAAATGTTTTATTCATCTTTAAAAATTTAATAGTTACAGTTTAAAGTTGACTCAATAACTTTTTGTAGAAATTTTGTTATTTTTGTGCAAACCCTTATGGAAAAGTAGCTAAATTTACAATATTTGTTAGCATATTTGTTATATCAAATTAATATTGTCATGAGTATTATTAATTGCTTATAACAATGTTAAGCATTGTTAGAACAGTTAAAATTATCACTAAACTATTGAAGATTGAAGTCTGCACTGTAAGTTGTGATTTTTCCAGGATTTGTCTAATTTAAAACATTTTGTACCAGCTGGAGTATTTTTCTGGAATTTCCCTATTTGTATCCATTTCTATCCAAAATTATTCTAATTCGAATTAAAAACAGTCAAATAAGAATTGTGGACAATAGGTAGGACAATCTAGAGCAGGGGTGTCCAACCCGCAGCATGCGGCCCAATAAACGTGCACACAAAACCGACAATTTTTTAAATTCTTTATTTATTTATTTCAATGGCATAAACTCAAAAAAGAAGTTTCACAAAGCCGTAAACCTTTATACATATTTTATTTTTGAGTGGAAAAGAAATATTTTCAAATACTTAGAAATGTGTGAATGAGGAAGTATACTAAATAAAGCTGGAGTTGGCTTTCAAATTCGGGGAAAGGAGAAAATGACCTAAAGATAAAAAGTAATGAGAAAGGTTAAATAGACCTCCTGTTATGCAATATGGACCCTTAATTTTCCAACCTTCCTCATTTCTTTATCTTTTGTCCTCTTTCTCCTTTCCCCACATTTGGGTCTATAATCCTTTGAGTCCCAACTCCAGCTTTATTTAGTATTCCTTCCAGCGTTGCAAGATTCAGCTAGTTTGTGCCAAATTCGGCTACCCTTTTATTAGTTTGATGTAAAAAATATCAGTTGGCACATTGGCTACTTTTTGGGCTACATATTATTTATAAATATATTAGTTGAATAAAAATGCACTTTAATTAAAATGGTGTTTCGTCGTTTTTTATTAATTAGAGACCCAAATAAAACAAATATTTGTGTTTTTCAAATAAATTTTTGTTTGTCTCCTTTNTGCTACAAATATTTATTTTATTCAATTTATTAAATAAATATTGAATTTCTGAAAGATAAACTTTAGAATTTTTTGAATAACAACTTTAAACTTGCGCAGCAACTGTAAAGCTGCATAAATTTGAGTATGTTGTTTAAAACATAAGGATAAATCTTATTATTATGTGCCAGTACATTGATGAGCAGTTTATTAATGTATTAAATAATATATCAGTTTAATTAAACATATAAAGAGAATTATATAGGTTTTAAGTAAAGTGCATACAATTATGGATAATTATTTAAGAGAAATATTGTTGTTAACACTTGATACTTGAATCATTAATATTATAATTTGTGAATAAAAATGATACAAAAATTTGTACAAAAACTGATTTTTTACTTTTTAAAATTCTGCAAGATCATTTATTTTTCTTATAAAATATACAGTTAGCCTATATAAATTATTTTAATGAATATTTTTATTCTTCTGAAGCAAGAGTTCTCGATCTAGTCACTAGTGATCCCAAAGAGGTCATTTGATTTATCTGGGGGTCAATATTGCGAGAGGTCATAGTCAGTGAATAAATTTATCTAACAATAATTGATATGGCCTTAAATTTTTGAAAAATAAATGACATAACTCTGAATTTTGTTTTATCTTTAACAGTAAAAATTGTTATTAATTCTTTTTTGATTTTTTTTATTTAATTCTAATTGTAATGTATTCTTACTTTGTATCAGTGTAGAAAGGGAATTTAACAAATTCAGTGTAATTTTGGAAAGGAATCAACAAACAAAACACAAACTTGGGAATCCTTATTTTAAAGTATTTCAAAATGTCTAACAGAAATCAAAATTAAAGACTAAATTATTATTGAAGTTTATCGATAATTATTTTAAAGATTGAAATTTGAATGTTTATCTACTTTATTATCGAGAATATTTATTTAATTAATCAAAAACATTGAATTTTATGTTAAAATTTATCAACTTACTTGATTTATGGATTAAATTTGTATTTTTCTGAGATAACTATGATGATGATTTTAGTTTTTAAAATTAGAAAATACTTAGTTTCTTTGAGAAAAACTTTGTAAACTTGAATAAAGATGTTAACAAGAAGTTGGAAGTGAAAATTTTATTACAGGCATTAAAGCTATATATATATATAATAT